TCTAGGGGTTTCCTCCTTTCATGGCCCCAGGCAAAGCAGGGGCTAGATGTGTTTCACACAATAGCTAAGCTTCGATTTTTTTTTAAATCTTTGATATGTAAGAGGATTAGCTTTACTAGTTCAGTTAGTACACTTCCCTTTGATTTTTAAAATACATTTATTTTTGAGATGTCCCCCTCTTAAATATTACAGATGTCCCCCTGCTAATATCTTTCCCATGCCCTCCCGTCCATTCACCTGGATACTGCGCTTCCCCGAGGTCATCAAACACCAGTGTAGTCTGTGTCCCGTGGGTTGTGCATATATGCTCACAAATTGTGTGTTCAATCTCTTCCTTTCCCCCTGCCCCCTGCGTGGGAGATTCATCAGTCACTTCGAGGTTCGCATGCTTCTGGTTCTAGTCTATTCATCAGTTTAGTTGGCTCCTTAGATTCTTGGTGGATTCGTTTTGATTTTTAGATTCAATCGTTGAAAGGGCCCGTTTAAGGGCATGAGCGCGTCATACGCGGCCGGTGCAGGAAGATGGTGGCGAGCGAACGGGTGCAGAAGATGCTGCGGCGAAACAAGCTGGCAATTGCCATGGCGCTCGCCATCCTGCTGCTTCAGGGCCTGGTGGTGTGGAGCTTCAGCGGCCTGGAGGAGGACGAGCCGGGCGAGGTGCTCTGACGCCCGGGCGGGCAGACCGGGCGCGGGGCGCGCGGGGTCCTGGCGGGGCTGAGGGCGGCCGGGGCTGGGGACGTGGGGCACGGGCCGCAGGCGTGCCTGACGCGGGAGGCCGTCTGGAGCTGGGCATCCGACTCCTGGCGCCCCCTTCCCCAGCGGGCCTGGGGGGCTGCACGCGCGGCGGTGCGCGTCCCGGAGGCTCGGGCCGCAAGGCGGGCCGGGGGCCGGAGCGGGAGCGGCGGGTCTCGGCGGGGTGGTCTCCGGCCCGGGGAGCATTGAAGGTCAGGCGCTGGGGAGCGGGGCCGGGAGGCGGGGCTGGGCCTGAGCCTGCTCCGGGGTGGGGAGCCCCAGGCCAAACTTTCTGAAGTTGGGAGGGGGCTGGTGTGCGCGCCGCGGGCGGAGGCGTGAGGCCGAGGGACCCCCAGAAGCGCCTGCCCGGCAGCGGCGGGTGGGGAAGTGGAGGCCGGGGGTGGAACTCAGTCCAGCAACTGAGGGAACAGGGAGTGACCCCGAGGGAAAGACCTACTCGTGTCCGAGGCGCGGCTTTCTTAGCCCAGCGACGCCCGGGGTCTGAGGCAGCTGCACGGGTCTTGGGTAGGAGATGCCAGAGGCGGGTGGGGGAACGTGAACTGGTGAGTTGACCTCGGGAAATTGGCTCCAAGGGAGTGGCGGCGGCAGCAGCTGGCTTAGTAGAGCCCCAGGCCCTGGAGCGAGGCAGACCCACCCTGCTCACTCCCAGGTCCCTGCGCCCCAAGGTCTGAGGTGCTGACACTCAGCTGACCGTGGTTTCAGCTGGAGGCCCGCGTACGTCCTTCCCAATGTGGTCAGGAGTCCAATGGGGGTCTAGAGCTGTCCTGGAAGGTGGGGAAGGAAGGGCCAAATCCCGGCCCTACGCTGTGGGCCAGAGGGCAGAGTTCCCCTGTGCCCACCCCGCCCCTTGGGGTTGGTGACTCGGGCTCTGAGGCAGGTGCTGTTTGCCTCCTCCTGTCCTCTCGGGCCTCTCCGCCTGGCAGGGTGAAGACCACTTTCCCTCTGTGCATCTGGGCCGTCGGGGAGGCCTGGTGTGGAGGCTGGTTGAGAGCTGTCCTTGCCTTTTTGGGGGAGAACCTAGAGGCTGGGATGGTGAGGGGAGATGGGACATAGTCACGGGAGACCATAACTCCTAACGGAGCGGAGGGTGGGGCGTGGGAGCCTGGCTCTGGGCATCTGAAGGAGTGAGCTTATTCTGTGGACCAGTGAGTAGGAGGAAGAGACTGTTTGGGGCTCAGTGTCAGAAGGCTCTCCCGGCAGAGGAGACATCCTAAGACCGAATGGGCCGCCAAGGCAGGCAGGGAGGCCTCTGCCCCCAGGAGGTGAGCAGGGGCCAGCGGCCTCTGGGGAGGGGAGGGGCACAGCGAAACCTCTGAGGCTTCTCAGAAACCAATGGCCCCGAAACCTCTGAGGCTTCTCAGAAACCAATGGCCCCGAGCAGCCGCATGACCCTGCGAGTCTCTGGATGGCCCGAGGGCCTGTGCAGGCTTGAAGTCCCTGCTGCCCTGGGGCGGGGACCTGAGGCAGGGGCGTGGTTGGGAGCCCCCTTCCCACCTCTCCCTGGCAGAAGCTGCTAAGGAAATCCTGGGCTGGAATGGAAGATGATCCTTGGTGATTGAGACTGTGTAGTCCGCGTAGCCATCAGCAGCCCCCTCAGCAGCCACCTCACCAGGTCTTGGGGTTACCGGGCAACAGCACCTAGAGCTTAGGAAGTGGGCCCTGAAGTTGGACTGCCCCACATGGCCGTCCTGTGTCCTATTCCAGCGCTGCTGCTGAGTCGTGGGTGACCACTGACAAGTCACCTACCCTCTCTGTGCCCCCATCAGTGTCTCCCCTCACGATGGGGATCCTAAGAGCACCTCTCTCGCTGGGCGACTGTAACGGTTACATGGAAATGATGCCTGTGAAGTATTTGCAGGAGTTCCTGGCATCTGCTAAGCCGTCAGTAAATAACTCGTTATCCCAGCACTGCACATTGGAGTAGGGACTCATTCATTCATTCATTCATTCATTCAACAAATATTTACTAAGTCCTACTTGGTACCAAGCACTATGCTAATACTGGGAATACAGAAATAAACAACATAGACGGGGTCTCAGCCCTCACGGGCAGACAGTCTGCAGGGAGAGCCCCACAGGGGAAAGGAAACTCATTGGAATAACAAGGGGGCTGGTTTAGGTCCCTTGGTCTGGGAAGGCTTGTGAGGAAGGTAGCTTCTGCGGAAGGTAGCTTGTGAGGAAGGTAGCTTGTGAGCGGAAGGAGCCTCGGGGAGAGGGGGGCAGAGTTTGGGCAGAAGGCCCTGAGTTGAATGGGCTCAGCTCGGCTGCCTTCAAGGAATGAAAGGAGGGTGTGGTACGCTCCCTGGAAGAAGGCTCAGGAGTTAGTCCAGGACGCACCCTAGAGACCACAGTGAGGGCTGAGGGATTTAGTGTAAGTGCAGTGGGAAAGCCCAGAGGGGGCTGCGCAGCGATGGGATCTGATGTGCACTCAGGATGCACACTCTGCCCGTCTGTGGAGGGCGCTGGCGTGGAGACCAGGATGAGCATTCACATCCAGAGAGCCAGTTTATGAAGCGTCCACACGCACTGCCTCGCCGCTCCTTCTAAATGCAGCCTGAGCAGTCCCAGGGAGGGGGGGTGTGGGGCAAGTGGTGCTGCTCTCTCTGTTTTCCCCGGCTCAGGCTCAGAGGATCCCAGGGAGCCCGGAGGTGGCAGAGACTTCAAATGCTTTCGCAGGGGGGGAGGGGGGGGCGGGGTTTAGAGGCCAGAAGGCATCCAGGTCAGAGGGACAGTCCTCACTCTCCGTAATCAGAGGGGACCCTGCCCTCAGGGACTCTGACCTCAAGGACTCCTGGGGACAGCTCCTCTAGCAGCCCTGCAGCTGCCCATCTGCACATTCCTGGAAGGGGGCAGGGCCGGGGGCTGGCTGTCACCAAGGACCCTCTTCTCCTCCTTTCCTCACTGCTGCCTCCTGGCCCCCCAGCCTCCTCGGGGATTGTCCCTCTCCGAGGCAGCCAGCTCCCTGCTGCAGTGCAGGGCACCACCATGCCCATCTCCTCCCACATCCTGCCTCCCACCACAGCCGGCCTGGCCCTGTGCCCTGGACCCTGCCCTCCTGACCAGCTTTCTGACTTGCTGAGACTGGTCCCCACCCTGAGAGCAGCCCACAGCTCCTCTGCCATCTCTGCCCACCTAAGCTTGAGGGTATCTTTGTCCATTGTGTGGCCAGATCAGACGTCGCCAGGTTGACACTCAGCTCAGGGGAGCTGCATTCACCTTTCCTGGGGACTGCCCAGTTCCAGGTGTCCTCTCCTACGTGGGCACAGAACGGGGTCTGCTGCCTCCTCCCCGCCCTGCCCTCCCTCTTGCAGATGCCCCTTCTCAGATGGGAATAAACACTCCCGGCTCTCATGAGATGAGCGGGCTGGCTGGGTGCGGGGCATAAAGGGCATGGGTGCTAGGGTGGAGGCATGGGGCTCTGGCCCTAAGGTGGCCGTCAGCCTGACATGTGAGGTGCCGTGCTCCACGCTCCAACAGGGAAGAGGAAGAAGGTCCTAGGGAGGTGAGGGGCAGAGAAAAACCAACACAACAGCGTCCAAAGGGTCTGCGGGCCCTGGGCCCTCTCCTGACATCACATTGGACTAGGTCCGTGGTCGGCAAACTGCGGCTCTTTGGCCCCTTGAGTGTGGCTCTTCCTAAGCCTTAGGAGTACCCTAATTAAGTTAACAACAATGTACCTACCTATATAGTTTAAGTTTAAAAAATTTGGCTCTCAAAAGAAATTTCAATCGTTGTACTGTTGATATTTGGTTCTGTTGACTGAGTTTGCCGACCACTGGACTAGGTTCTCCTCCCCTTCCAGCAATAATAATTATCAAGTTCTAGCCTCTGCCAGGAGCTTTACATTCCTTCGTTTCACTCATTCATTCGACAAATATTTGCTGAGTGTGCACCACGGCGGGACATTCTGGGCTCTCAGGATACATCAGTGAGCAGAACAGGCCCTGTCCTCCTGAAGCTGTCATTCTTGGAAGGGGAGGGGCACAGAATAACAATATAAATACGTGGTGGGAGGAGAGAAGGCAGCAAGTGCTAATAGGAAAATAAAGCAGAGATGAGGGCAGGCTGGAGTTTTAGATACAGTGTTACCATGGGCCATACTGAGAAGATGCCACCTGAGCCAAGAATTGAAGGAGGCAAGAATGGGGCCAGCAGGGAGCTGACGGAGCAGAGGAGAGCGACTGTCCCAGTGACCTGTGCCTGCCTGTCTTTTACAGAAAGGAAGACAGAGGAAGCCACGGCCCCTGGACCCCGGCGAGGGCTCCAAGGACACAGACAGCTCGGCGGGGCGGCGGGGCAGCGCCGGCAGAAGGCATGGGCGCTGGCGGGGCCGTGCCGAGAGCCCAGGTGTGCCCGTGGCCAAAGTGGTGCGGGCAGTTACCAGCCGGCACAGAGCTAGCCGGAGGGTCCCTCCCGCCCCGCCCCCCGAGGCCCCTGGCCGCCAGAACCTGAGTGGGGCAGCAGCGGGGGAGGCGCTGGTCGGGGCAGCTGGCTTCCCCCCACATGGAGACACAGGGAGTGTGGAGGGCGCCCCCCAGCCCACGGACAATGGCTTCACCCCGAAGTGCGAGATTTTGGGCAAGGACGCGCTGTCCGCACTGGCCCGGGCCAGCTCCAAGCAGTGCCAGCAAGAGATCGCCAATGTGGTGTGCCAGCACCAGGCCGGGAGCCTCATGCCCAAGGTTGTGCCCCGGCACTGCCAACTGGCTGGTAAGGGACAGGCCTGGGTGGAGAGGTGGCAGCCCCGGGAGGTGACATGGCAGGGACCCCACCCCCGCGTCTCAGAGGAGACAGCTCAGAGGGGCGCACCCCCTTGCCTGGCTGGTGACGAGCACGCCAAGTGGCAGAGGGGGCCCTGGCCCAGGAGCGTTGGGCTCCACGTCCAGGATTCTTCCTCGGACGGCAGGCGGCTCCCTCTTCCCATCTGGCCTCCACCCTGCGACGGGCAGGGCCTCACTGATGCCCTGCTCTCCTCACAGGGAAGGTGAACCCCGGCCTCCAGTGGGAGGAGGCCCGGGCCCAGCAGCCCGTGGAGGGCCCCCCGGTACGAATCGCCTACATGCTGGTGGTGCACGGCCGCGCCATCCGCCAGCTGAAGCGTCTCCTCAAGGCCGTCTACCACGAGCAGCACTTCTTTTATATCCACGTGGACAAGGTACCGTGGGGAGACCCAGGGGTTCTGGGTGAGCAGAGCGGAAACCAGGAAGGTCACAGACACACAGGGTTTCTGACCTGCTCAGGTGGCCCAGAGTTAGGGGAACAGGCCTCGAATAGGGCGCACCAGCACCAGGTGACACGTGCTCCCCATTCCTTGCCAGTTGTACTCTGTCCCGGGTTGGGGTGGGGTGGGTGGGGAGGTCGTAATGCTGAGGGCCCACCTACAGCTGCTAAGAATCTCCCCCCTTCCTCCCCCCCTTAGCGCTCGAACTACCTGCACCGGGAGGTGGTGGAGCTGGCCCGGCAGTATGATAATATCCGCGTGACGCCCTGGCGCATGGTCACCATCTGGGGCGGGGCCAGCCTGCTGAGGATGTATCTGCGGAGCATGCAGGACCTGCTGGAGGTGCCTGGCTGGGCCTGGGACTTCTTCATCAACCTCAGTGCCACCGACTACCCAACCAGGTGGGGGGTGCTCTGGACCTCCCGATGGGAGGGGGCGCATGTGGGCACTGGGGTTGGAGGGTCCTGGTAGACCCCTTCCCCTCCCCAGGCCTCATTCTGGGATCCACGCAGCCCAGACTCCTTCTCTCTTGGCCCCAGCCATGTTTTAGGGGAGGGGTTGCTGAACGATGATGTGAGGATTGAGAGTGACAAGAGATGGGGAAGAGGGGGAGCCAGAGGTGTGTACGGGGAGGGTGCTGGGTCAGACAGCAAGGGGTACAGGAAGGATGGGGTGGTCTTTCTCGGGGGCCTCAGGTACCCATCACCCTGGGGTAGGGCACATGGCCTGGAGGCCAAGAGGTGAAGGTGACGAAGGCTGGACCGAGTCTGCTCTGGGCCAGTGACTGAGCAACCCCTCACACACTGCCCACACCCATTCCCTCTCCAGGACCAACGAGGAGCTGGTGGCTTTCCTGTCCAAGAACCGGGACAAGAATTTCCTCAAGTCACATGGCAGGGACAACTCCAGGTGAGGGGCTGGGGGAGAGGGCCCTGGTCTCAACACAACCCCTCCCGCAGGGGAGATGTGGGCGCCCAGCAAACCAATCACAGATGGAGGAGTGCTGGTTCCTAGGCGGATGGGACCCCACCCTACGCAACCCCCCAGCCTGGGCTGGTCTGCTCCCCACAGGTTCATCAAGAAACAGGGCCTGGACCGGCTCTTCCATGAATGTGACTCGCACATGTGGCGCCTGGGCGAACGGCAGATCCCGGCGGGCATCGTGGTGGACGGCGGCTCCGACTGGTTCGTGCTGACGCGCAGTTTCGTGGAGTACGTGGTGTACACGGACGACCCGCTCGTGGCCCAGCTGCGGCATTTCTACACCTACACGCTGCTCCCGGCCGA